TTTTTTGAAGAGCGTTTATTCTCGGCGCCACTGGGGAATTGGAGAATCCGCGGAAAGGACCAAGTGCGATCATACGACTAGTTGATGTGGTCATCCCAAGGGGAAGTGAAAATTTGTGATTGCGAGGCTTGTCTCGACCGGACATTTTTTTCGGTGCGAGAGCCTAGAACTGAAGGGAGGGGGGGGGGAATACGGAAGAGAAAACTCGAGAAGGAAAAGGGGGGAAGGTGGGAGGATAAAGTAAAGAAGTAGAAGGCTTCACGCTTGACAGATATCCTGGAAGGAAAATGCGCTGTTTCGAGCGGCAATTGCAACAGCGCTCCAAGGCAGCCGCACAAGGGAATCGATCGGCCCGGTCGCTTACATACTGAGAGAGGAGGAACGCGAAGGTACGCGCAGTTTGGTATCGATCGGCAGTGGCCGCTAGTGCGTCATCGCGAAGTCTGAACGTGCCTTACGAATGAAGGAAATCAGCAAGTACGGTGATGGGACGGCAAAAGTCTGGGACGGGAATTGGTGATCTCTGCCCACAGACGTTTGTGGAGAGTCCAGGATTTGAGAAAATGTGCGATTAAGACGAATGCGCGTGCCTAAGAGAAAATAGAAGACGGACAATTGGTCGATGCAGTCTAATCTTAACCGCCTCTCCGGAACGCGTGATCCCCCCGCAGCATCAGCGTTTGCTTCTGAAAGGAATTTATTTACAACTGAGAACTCACACATTTTACAGAAAATTAATGCGTTGTCTGAATCACTACATAGCAAGTGCATCCACAGTGAACAATGAGAAAACTCGTAATCTGTTCAAAGTACTGGGACTGGTTTTCCGGACGGTAGTGCAGTCGAAGCGAAGTGGAGACAAGTAAGCTCGTTATGGGCCCTCATTTTATTGGCTCGTCATCTTGACGGCTGACATATCTTATCGTTTCAGCTTCGTTCCACTAAAAGTGTCAAGTTTTTACAGCTTCTGCGATGACGAGGGTCACACGACGAAGTTCCGCTCACAACTGGACAGCGTTCTTGACTCATTGGTATCACTCATGGCGAGACAAGGGAAAGAAGACGGTAAAGGCAGAACACAGCTCTCAAACACTTGCCAGCAATCGTGGATCCAATTTGTGCAAGTGGTGCTTATGAGCCTACAGATCTTTGGTGAGTTATGTCTCTTCTTGCATTGTTTCGCGCTGCAGTTTTTACACGCCATGTGCCTTTCAACCCTAACATTTGCTAATGTATGGCTAAACAACCCTGGTTTCGGTAGGCGTAGCGCCAGGTTCGAGTCCTGCTGGGGCAATGTTCGTATGTACCACTTTTTGTGACCAAATCGGACACTTCTCAAACAATGTTTGTCTAACGACTTGATTAGCGAGATCACACTAGATACTACTGCAAACCGCTCGCCTACAGCCATGCCCACCTCTGTGTCTTTTTGCAGAAATTTGAGGCTTCAAAAAAAGTTGACAGTTGGGCTGCTACGTGCAGCACCTTCCGCGGTGAGAAGCTCCGCTTACTTCACAGAAACTCCCCACTTTCGCAGCTTAGCTCGCATTTGCAGGTTAATGTCTCGCTCGTCACTCGGAAACAAAAAAACAGGCAAGGTTGGTTTCAGCGAATGTCAGATCTCTCACTGGAGACTAACCTGCTCACTGGAAACCAAGCCAAAAAGCCAATTTGTCGAAATTGAGCCGGGATCCCATGAAGCGAGCGGGAATTTTCATGAGAGGGACACGTAAGGGCCTAAAAATGTGAAAATTTCCGAAGTGTCTCAAAGTTATGCAGAAAGACGCCAAAGCGGGCTTGGCCGAACCTTATGTGTCAGTGTATATGAACTCGCGTCTATGCGGCCCTCGAAGAGTGAAGAGTGGATATGAAAATGACGGCGTTGGAAAAAGTATGAAAATTTGGAATTCCCAACAGATGCCCTAAGAAGTGTGGTAGTCGCCTGTGTGTCGGTGGGTGAGCTTATCTACCTTAGCTGTGCATGTGAAATTGCAAAAGCGCAAAAAAAGTCACACAAGCCGTGCTCATGAAATAAATTTGGATAGTCATTGCAGAAGAAAGAGTGTAGCGGTCTGGTCGTGGCTTCTTTTGAAAAATGTCTGATTCGGGATGGAGTGAATGTATTTTTTTTCTCCGAGATGGGAAATTTCCGGATTTTCAGCAAATTTTTCCTAAGAGTCATGAATGGCTTCGGGAAGAACATCGTTGCTAGAGAGCGTCTTGGTCTAGTGTCGCAGTTGATAGATACTCATCTTTTTGAAAGTAAGTAGAAGGTTTGCACCAGAACATTTAAAGTTTTATTTAAGCGTTCTTACTGTCAAACATGGATTTTAGTTGCAAGCTTGCCGTGCAATTCTTCTACCTCGTTGTCCCTCCCCGCCCCGTGGCGCGGCCGCTTGGATGGCCTTGACCTGGTTTGGTCCAGTTGGATCCGGAAATGAGCGAAGAACGAGAGTTTGCCGATCGAGCTATGGAATGTGCTTCCATTGTCGGTCGTCTTCTAGAGCGTCTCTTTCCAGCTACGGTATGCCTTCGCATTCTCAGCGAGTAGTGAAGTAGCATAAAAGCAATGCTAATGTGTAGTCATTTCTGAGAGTTTACAGTATATCTCCTGGCTCTAATTCAGAATAATCCCGGTGTACCAATATGGCACGGACGAAGAACTGAACCTCATACTTGGTGGTACATACAGACCACTAGTCCAAGCAATGGTGTACATAGGAGAACAAAATCAATCAGTGAGTTGAAGAAACTAATTTTTGGGCACAGTTCTGCTACGGAGGGGATTGTGCACTTTTCTGCTTTCCACTGTCGAGCTGAAATAGAGATTTCTGAAAACTTGTGAAGCCCTTGAAGTGGTGCCACAGGAAGTTTGTAAGAGAACTACTTGTGAGGTCTTATAAAAGATGCCTGTCAATTCTCACCAAACAATTAAAACGACAAATGGGAAGCAGCGAAAGTGCAAAATGCACCCCCCCCCCTCGTCGATTGCGCCAATTTAAGTCCAGAGTGGAGTATTTTCGTTCTGGAGAACATACAGAATACATTGATAATAGCTGGCTTCCATGGCAGTCCCATTAACTGACGCAAATGAGCGCTTCCGGTTAGATCTGTGTCCCGTGGAACCCCTTCCAATGGAAGTTAGTTGTGAAGTATACCCTTTAAAAGCAGGCTATCTTCATATGAACGTGGTGGTTTTGAGATTATCGACATGAATTGCTTTCTTTTCTTTTCTTTTCTTTCTTTCTTTCTTTTCTTTTTTTCTTTTCTTTTCTTTTCTTTTCTTTTCTTTTCTTTTCTTTTCTTTCCTCTTTCCTTTCCTTTCTTTTCTTTTCTTTTATTTCTCTTCCTTTCCTTTCTTCTTCTTTCTCTATTGCGGTTAGTCTGCAGCATTTGGAAATAATGTACAGGAGTGCTTTTTTAATACTGAACCCAATGCAACTTCTTAGAACTGATGCAGCGGACTTCGCTGGGAGCTAATGACAACGTATTTATAACGACGAAATTCGAGGATCGATTTTTGCTGCGTCTAATATCTTGGCGTTACTTAACAAAAAATGTCAGCTGAGGCTGTTCGGAAATACATTGAAAAATAGGTAACTGACTTTTAGTCTTCCTTCGTTGAAAAGAGAAGTGGAAGAGTCATTCAAACAAACTTCAGACCAAACGACATCGATAAGATGGACTTCATTTTGGAAATGTTGCAAATGATTCGCGATTTGTTGTGTAAATGTCCATTTCCGTCCACCTGGCAGCAGATGATAATGCTACAGAATAAGTTCGTGGTTATTTTGATGGTACTTTCAACGAGGTATTTGACTAACTAACGAATTTTCTTCCAGGACTGTTCATAAAGCTTTACGTTTTCTGATGAATGCTATACAAGGACACTTTTCCAATGAGAGGGAGAGCTTCTACTCAGATGTGAGGGAAAATTTTCCTTTTTCTATTTTCTAGATGAAGGTTGAATAAAGAAGGGAATGGGTGACTTCTGCTCTTCACGCTGTTTGGAGTGCGACATGTTTTCTACTTCCATTTAAGAACGGTTCAGATGCATTTGTGCTCTTGACCAATAACTTGCAGGGCGTAGAAGGTGTGGTAATCCGGGCACAGTTTATTGCAGTTTGAGGAGCAGTTCCTGACTGGCTTTCGTCTGGGCCAGCTAATCCCTGCTTTCCACAGGTGCTTAATGCCAGGTGACAGGGTGATTGATTGCACTGACTTTCACATCTGCTGGCTTTCGGAGGTCATTGTTTCCGTTGTTGACCAGTGGCTTTCTGACCGAACTTCCCAGAAGGGGATCGATCAATGCCGAGAGCTAGATCCTTTAATAATTGGATAGGTGGCTGCGGTGAACATGACGTGCCATCCTTGAGGAATCTGCAACCCAGGAAGTGGCATTTGAATTGCTGATGAGACATCGTTCTTGGCTTGAGGGGAGCCTGCATTACTTTGGTTGGCGAATTTCGTGAAATAGTCTATTTTGCGAGCAGACAAAGGGTAGTAAGAGTATGTTACTGCTCATCCAGCAAAATGTGGAGGTGGATAAAAACGTACTTGTGGGTGAAGGAAGCGTACTTTTGGCATCAGTGGGGAGGAATCGCGCTAGAACCCCATTCTCCTCGTTGGACGTGAAGTGGTGGTACATATGGCTGCTTACTATTTATTTAATTGTTCACACCAATGAAGTTCACCCCTTGAAAAGGTAGTGACCGTGGTAGTGAATGGATAATGTTATAGTTTATTTTCTAGTTCCAGGTGCCACTTTTTGTGCTATACTATGCATTTTGAGATAGAGGTGGCGTAGTGGAAAGTGGCACGCTCACCACGCGTGCGGTCAGGCGTTCAACACCCGGATCAGCCCTTGCCCAGACCTATCGAGCCTTCCACCCTCCGTTGATGGTAAATTGGTAACAGATTCGTTCGGGAGTAAAAGAACGCCGATTCGTATTGGTTGGCCACCTCGAGTCACTGCATAAACCACATCGCCTTGAGCCATTGCGATACTGAATATAGTAAAATATGCGGGTCGCGTCCCGGAAAGAATTGATCGGCGAAGAATCGAGCCTTCAGTTTTTCATCATACACATTAAAATTTATTCTGTTCTCTGTTCTTTTTTCATTTTCTCTTCGTAAGGCAGTAACAGCGAGAAGTTTAGGTCTGGCAAGAATATATGTTGACAGCTGTGTGCTTCGTCACGCAGCCATCTCTACAGCCCAGTGAGGAATGGCTCCGAGACGAAGGAGATTCCCGTATTCAACTACGGAAAGGAACTGCTCGCGATCTTCGGTCAATGTGGTTCCGTCTCACGCGTATGTTCTCGATTGTGTTTGCAGAGTTAAAGAGCTCATTCTACTGGCGGTTTACTTTAGCTGTACAGAAAATGGTCTACATCCCCCGTCTTGTTGGAGCGTTTCTAAAAGTGGCTCTTGTGGAAGACGACGAGACCAGGGAAGCAACGATTCCGATATTTTTTGATATGATGCAGTGCGAGTTTCACTCGTGTGTCGAGGATCGTAAAAACTTCAAGAAGGCTAGTATCGCTCGATTTCATTTTTTCCCCGTTATCGTAGCGCTGCTATACTTGGAAGGTGAAAAAATGCCGGCTTTTAATCTTGCATACACACACAGGGTTGTGCCTTCTTGTTTCTCTTTTTTTTTTGCTCTCGCGCTAGAATTTGAGTGAGGATTAATGTGATCGGTTGATTTGGTATGTCTGTGAACGTAATTATGTTTTTGCGCTACTTCATCATTGCGGTTCAGTAACACAAGTTTTTTCGCCAAATTTGCGCCTATAGAGCTAATTAGGTGCCACGAAAAAGATATCCATCTTTGACGCTACTCCTTCTCCCGAGAAAATACGCTGTGAACCTGTGTTTGGTGGTTATCGATGGTCCTGGCTATAAATATGGCATTTCA